GGTATTATAACAAAGTATTATTTGAAAATATGTTGTCAATACTTATTCACTTGTTTGTTTTTAATGTGCCAATATCAAATGCTGAATCCGAAGCCATAAAAATGACTATTTGAATATTAATTTTCAAAAATATTTAGTATAAAAAAATCACCTTTTCATTACTGAGATTCAAGAAAGAAATGGAGTGTACCAATACTTTCTTGACCCACTGTATACCCCACAGATGATAGTTTGCCCTGCTTGCGTTTGTTGTCGAAGTCCTACCTCGAGTCATCAAACAGCTGTATAGGGTTGGCCCTCGTTTGGTCGGACGGACGATCGCGTATATTTTGTAGTATAAAGTTTCTATCTATAAGATTATCTAATGGCAATGTAGAATAGGGTAATGACGATCAGGCTGTAAATTTGTCCAACACCAAGCAGATGCTCCAACTGCGAGCTCTTCGGCCATTACCTCTAGATATATTGCGGCTAAAATACCGCTTAGTCAAACTTAACGGCCGCTAATGTGCGCTTAATTTAGGTAATGGATGGCCGCACATGCAATCGCAGACGCAACGTCTGCTCTGCCAGACTTGCTAATACGAGCGAGTGGGCTTACGACGCGTCTAGGCGGTGAGGTTCAATGATACTGCTGCCACTGAACTAGAAAAAGAAGAGGACGGATTTGAAAATACTATCTTACAAGAGACCTGAATGATCCTAAGAAGCTACTGGTGATTCGCAAAGTTGGTATTCCTCTCAAAATAGAAAAGATCACGAGACGAGCTCTTATTTATCTAAATTCAGAAAATAAAGACATCAAAATATTTAAAAAGAGCGGCAAATAAGTTGATAAACGCTTTCGTCCATTCTCATTTTCCAGTTTTCGGACAGACTTCTTTCAAGGGTCGGAGATTCAAAGTCTCTTGTTGCCTGCTCTATGACTTGACGCTTGTGTTGCAGTTTTCATCAATTCTTGTCATGGTGGTAGATATCAACGACCTCCTTTCCTGTACGATCAATCCTATCAACAGCTTTGCTTATGACAACACCCTACGAGCAGCAATTCAATGCCGAGTCGATCTCTGCCGGTGAGCTGGAGAACAGAAGACTAGCACCGACTTCCTCTCTGACAAGATCTGTCGATTATCACTGCTTGGGTATCCAACAATCTGGGGCAGTGTAAGGCTACCAAAACGCAGTCTGTACCTTGACCAAAAAGAAGCGCCTTAGCATTCATCCGCTCTCGATAGATGGCCGGGTTCTAGCAAAGAGCCGTTCATTTCAGCTGGTTGGAATCCCGATCAACGAGGACTTGATCTGGCACGATCACATCTCTTCAATCGCGGCAGCTCCAGGTATAAAGCTAGGCTATTTGTTTAGGGATAAGACGTACTTTTCTCTACATAGCCTCCTCAGTCTGTACAAGGCCAGGATAAGACCTAGCCTCGAGTACTGCTCACATATTTGGAGTGCTGCCGCCTCGACTACATTATCCATGCTCGATGCTGCTCGGAGGAGGGCTGTTTGGCTTCCTGCATTCAGAACTGGCTGATACGACTGCACCCAGTATTACTAACCTTAGGCAGTTCAAAAGTCCTATTAACAAAGTGTCTTTTAGCTCCTCATAGAAGCCGCGGTGCCCCGGTACCTGGCCTTCGGTATAAAAAATCATCAGGGACATTTACACTTCTTCTGGATATGCTTTTCAGATCGCTCAATCAAGCTGAACTGAATATATTTGCTCTCCATCTCTGTGTCCATAATCAACCGTATACCACGTTGTTTCATGCTTTTTAGCAATCATCAATGCGGTATAGGTCAGTCATTTGGTATAAATTTGTATGTATTGTCTTCTGGAAAACTCAGTAGTGGCATCTATCTGTACCCAATACAGTAACTATCTTTCAATATAAAATACAAGCCAGAGACGTACGGGCTTTTTGTAATTTTTAGCGTATGAGCTGAAGATCTACTGAACTTTGGCAGAAAGTATGTAGGTGCCGCCCCCCTTTCCTCCCGTACGATCCAAAGTGGGACTCCTCTACGAAAGACTTTTAGAGAAACATACATGAAAATAATGTTTATCACATTATTTTCATGTATCCTTTAGTCTAATCATATAAGACGAAAATACCCCTGGTTCGCGAAATAATTTGTAGACTCTGGTTTTATCGCTGCAAGTTGTTTAAGGGGCTATTTAAAACATGGACGCATAAAATGGGTACACCAGTTTTTGTGGGAAGACTTTTTATTCGACAACAAAGAATGAGTAAATGTGTTTTTTGGGATTCAATGGAAAGTGTTGGCAGGAACGAAAAAACTCTTGATATAAGATATTTAGGTACTTATGAGACCTACAAAATGAGACCATACGTACATAGATCTGACTAATGGCAAAAAAGTTATGGCTGAAAACCGAGGCAAAATGCAGGTTTTGGCACTTGTTGGTAATTCGACGATGGTTTCTCGCAGATATTTGAAATTCTTCAAATTCGTAGGATTGGTACTTCTAAATAACGACAACAAAATTGGAGTAGATTGGTCAAGTAGTTTTTGAGAATATCTAATTGTTTATCCCCAAACACATGTCTTCCGGCCTTTACTACTAGGTTATTGAGCAATATACAGGGTTATTTCAAAGCGCATTTTATAGCAAAATACACTAGTTTATCTCGCCCATATGAATGGCAAACCATTCCGGAAGATAAATGTTATTTTTATGCAAAAAAGGATGGGTTACGTTTTTTCTTCTAAGCAAATTCGAACATTTCGTATTTGTGAGTAATTCGCAACAAAAGATGATAGACACATCCGCGTTGTTTTAAAATGTGTATAGTAACGTTCGCTCACAAATACCAAATGTTTGAATTTATTTAGAAGAGAAAAACGTAAACATTGTTTTTTGCATTTATCTTTCGGAATGGTTTGTGATGCATATCGGCAAGGTAAAAACGTGCCGTTGTTATTAAATGCTCTTCGTATATTGCTCAATAAGCTAGCAGTTGTGGCCGGAAAACAGATGTTTTGGATTAAACAATTAGAAACTACTCGACCAATATACTCCAATTTTTGTTATTTAGAAGTACGATTCCTGCGGATTTGAAGAATTTCAAATATATGCGAGAATCCATCGTCGCATTACCAATAAGTGCCAAAACCTGCAGTTTGCCTCGGTTTTTGGCCAAAACTTTTTTGCTATTAGTCGGATCTTTTCATGTGTGGTCTCATTTTGTAGGTCTCATAAATACCTAAAAACCTTATAAAAAAAGTTTTTTCTTTCCTGTCAACACTTTCGATTGAATTCCAAAAAACACGTTCTCATTCTTTGTTGTCTAATAAAAAGTTTTCCCACAAAAATTGGTGCACCCATTTATGCGTCCATGTTTTGAATACCCACTTGAACAAGTTGCACCAATAAAACCAGAATTATTTCGGGGAAATTTGCTAATATGATTAGACTATTGACAAATCCGAGGAATTGACCACTGATCCAATGCCACCTGAACAGCTGAGCTCAAATGTGGCTTTAAGAGAGTGTAAAGTTACTCTGACACGCATTCCATCTTATTTATCCCGTAAAAAACAAAACAAAAACAACTTAGATTGTACCATCAGCTCGTAATGAAGACACACTAGCACGCAATCCTGTTAAGCCACTTTCAATGTTCTGTCTATACCGATAACATAATTACAAGTTATACGACGTAGCTGCTTTTAGCAATCAATTAGTTGTAGACATCAACCTAGCAAGATTGAATATTGATTAAAAGACATCTTTGTTAATAGATTATGAGCTTGCTTCTGCTTAAGCCCTCTTGGCACCGTGATTTAATCGCCAAACTGATGCATAACCATTTAAATATTGCTATATAAACGAATTTAGAATACATTATCACCTTTCTACCTTTATTTAATTTGGCAGCTGATCGCTAGTACATAATGGGGAGAATAGAAGGACAACTCCTAGTGGGCTACTGGTAACGTGTCCCACCATATACTGCGACAGCACCTAAATCAGTGGCGTACCTTGCGTTACGCTACTCTCCTCCAATTTGGTAATGAATTATACTTGACTACCGAAGGAACCGAAAAGGTAGAGAGTAGCCAAACACATCGCACGCCCATGCTAAGGTGGCAACTTTTTGAATATGCGCACGGCATAACGTCAAAAAAACCTATAAGATGTCATCTTGGAAACTATGTAGTTTTTAGGGCGCAAACAGTCATTCCAGGTTTGCTCACTAGGATCGTTGTGAACGTCCATCTAAGGAGGAATCACTCAACTAAACTACACGCATTATTGGTTGCATATGTTCTGTGAGGCCAAATGGTCCTTGTCTGTAGTTTTTATCTGTGAGAAGAAAGTTGGTTGAATAGCAAAATCGCATCTGGATGATTATGTGTATTGGTCTGCATCAGTGATATTTGCTGTGTGAGAAAATCATTACTGAATATGCTGCCAATGAAGTATATCTATTGGCTGTGCCCAACGGGTTATTGTTATGTTGTGCTTTCTGAAGAGAGGTTATGTCCAAAGTTATAAATTACGAAAAACTGAAGAGAATTACGGGAAATCATCACCGCGCCCGCGTTGTGTGTAATTACTGTCAGCATGTATATGGCGTGTAATTCGACAGTGGACACTGAATATAATTATTTCTTATCTCTCCCATTTTTGAAATTCAACAAATTTGTATATGTAATTTCCAGAATGGATAAGAAAAAGTGGATGCTCAACTAATTTCTAGCTTTGAATCTCAATTTAATGTGATTTTACATCACATCAGAGGCAAAGATTGATAACAAGCCTCATGACGTTTAGGCAACACGTACAACTAAGTGCTAAGTTAATACCTTATAGAAAAACCTACATATTGTCAAAAAAACAGCATAATGTCAAAAAAAATGATTCATTGCTTGGACAGTGGTGTTCAGTGTCGTCTTAAGCAATATACGTATAGTGAACCCCGGGTCTACAAGCGGCTGAATACCCCCAGGGCAGAGCGAAATCCTGGGCCCTATTTTGCCGTTGGTAAAAAATTAAGAGCGTAGAGTACTCAGACATTGATTGTTTGGCATTTGGGGCCCCATTAAGCCGGAAGACTAAGCTCGGTTCCCGTCGGCTCATAAGGTTAAGACGGAATAGCTTACGTTCGATGCACTATGCTACACTCTTCCAATTTTGGTACTCAACTATAACATTGCATGCTTTGTTTTGCAGGAAACGTGCAGTCCAAAGGCCTGCGCCCGCCAAACAGACAGCGAGCGTCCAGTTTGCGGCTTTGACGGACTGACGTACCCAAGCAGATGTATCTTCGAGAGGGCGCGCTGTCGCAACGCGAACGTCACGCTGGCCAAGAGAGGGCCCTGCAAGCGGCAGCGCGCCTGCGCGGAATGGGGGACTTTCTTTAGCGCCAATCAACATCTCAACAACAGGTAAGACACAACAAGACTTGTTATGGATTCTTTGAATCTCATAGAAAAACGCAATATACTATGAAGCGCTTGCTAAATCATAGACCACCGACAAATCGAGTTGTTTTGTGCGTTTATGTCTATCTGTACCCGTTTAGTTAGCTTGGCTAGCCACGGGCCACGGTGTAAACAAGGCATAGGCCTTTCAGCTTCGACGCTGGCTCCGAAGGTGTTTTTTTTTCTTTTTTCACTATTTCAAATCCATGACTCCGACAAACTATTGATTCAAAACAGACAGTTAGACGCTTAGATACCCTAAAAACCCAACCAAACTTGTGACAATAACGAGTAACTTTTTTGTGGCTGCCACTGACTACTTACTCTACGTCAGCCTTTCAAGTACCTCGAACTTCTTCATTCTGTCTCACGTAAAAACAATAAAGTGCCATGTTTAGACTTCACTGATTCAATACCTTCAAATTTCGGCCATATTTATACCGTGGCTAGTCAAGCGTTAGCATTCGGTTTGAATATTCATAGAACGGAGTAATCAAACAGAACCACACGATTTATTGGTTATAGCCAGCCAGTGCCAGTGATGGGCGTTTATGCGTATACATCAATTGTCTACGTCTCGATGTATACAATGCGTATACAATGTATACATTGCGTATACAATGAATACAATGTATACTATGATGAAGACAATGCATAGAATAGCATAGGTGAGGTTAGGTTTATTCGTAAACGTCAGAAAATTGGTGAACATTGAACCGGCAACATAAAAAATTATGGTTGGACGCCCCAATAACAAAGAAATCGATGAACTAAGGTTCATTTTGTTTAAAAATGGAAAGACATATTCCGTAGAGTGTAGCGTCTGCAAAAAAAGTTGTCCAATTGCGCTGAGTGAAATCAGTCCTTTGGCTGACTTCACTCAGCGTGGATTTTATTTTATTTTACTTAAGAAATGTTCCTAATTTATTTAAAACTGTATCTTTTATATATATATATGTATATAAATAAATATTATATATTTATACCCTTCCTCATTATTTATAAACTGCTTTCACAGTCAAACCAATAATGCAATGTTGCAAAATTTGTAGCGAACCTGAACTTTCAGTTCCACCTAAAATCAGAGAATCATTAGGATCGATCCGGAATTTATCCTAAACAGATTCGACTGAAATGTGTATTTGGTCACAGAAAACAACAAATTACAGCCGCGTTCCGTGGCCTTCATCACTGTTGTGACAGGCATTTCAAGTATTGGATTTTCAATCTAACTCTCACTGAACATTAGAAGAGCTAGTGACAAAGTGATCAACGGCGATTCAGAAAAACATCGATGTCGACAGTTATGCCGTTTGGCTTCCATAACTTCGAACAAAACATAATATTCCAATTAATGATTGTTACTGATCTACCATATTATATTTTCATTCCAGCTTCATCCCAAACTGTCGTCCCGACGGTACCTATGACTCGACGCAGTGCCACCCCTCAGCTGGGTTCTGCTGGTGCGTCACCCCTGAAGGGGTGCCCCTTCCTTACACATCATCGAAGAGGCGGAATAGCGGAGAGGAGGGGGAACGACCGCCCAGATGTGGGCGGCGTAAGAAGTCCGCTAATCGGCGCTCGCCGGCCAGGAAACACAAGCCGCGCATGTGCAAACGGCCGGACAAGTCCATGCTGAATAATAATCTTGTTAATAGTTTCCATTCCGAGTTTATCAGGTTAGCATGACATACAAGTTTATTAAAAAGTTATGATAACATTTTGGCAAATAAATAATATATTATTATATACAGGGGTTTTGGCTTTCCTTTACGCTCCGTATACTACTTGTGAAATAACACATGCACCATAATCCTAAGATAAGTAAGGTGTTTGGTTCCGAAAAAAAAAATCATTGATTTGGAAAGAGGCCATCTGTTATTTTCATAAAATGTTAGTGATTCCCCTCGCTCTGGATGGGCTCAAAAGGGATAATCTAGAGAGCTTTAAGTCCTAAGCTCTTGCATTCCAAGTCAGTTCCTTCTCGAACTGTACAACGATCTCCTCATGTTTCTGTTAAAAACCAAACCAAGTTAAAAATGCCAGAGTTACCTCAGAAAGAAAATATCCCAGTGTACTGGAAACTGTTCTGTAATTTATGACAAGAAGTGTGATACGGATATCCTCATTTTTTTTTTTGTTCGATAATAGGTCATCATCACAATTTATGGAAGAATGTTAGGTCATTCACTTTGAGCAAGCGCTTTTCCAGGATTGGCAAGCAGTCGTCAGGCTTGAAAGATCCGTTGTTTTTCGCTGTTGAAATTTTTTGTGAAAGTCTAAATGGACATAATCTCCGAGTTTATCTAACTTTGTTTATTAACTAGCTGCAGTAGTATTTCTTTGCTCATAATTACTTCTTAGGTGCGAATTAAAATCATTTTACTCAAAAACCTGCGAAGATTTTTGAGCTGGCTTTAAGGAACCATTTTGATCATTAATTGTGAACATTTCCAGAGAGGTGGGTCGCAATGACTCCGACCAAGCAGTGATAGCGTGGAAATTCCAGTCGCTCGACAGCAACCGTGACGGCGTACTTGACAAGGACGAGTACCGGGACCTGCGGAAGATCGTGAAGAAGGCTGCCAAGCCGAAACGGTGTGCCAGGCAGTTCCCGCGTTCCTGTGACGTAGACAGAGACGGAGTGGTGGGAGAAAGGGAGTGGGAGGACTGCCTTACCAGAGACGGGATGGATGGTAAGTCAAAGTCGACATGTTGGATGCGGGGGGACGGGTGGGCCAAGAAGAGGTCAGAAGTAGGAAGAATAGAAGGGCTTAAACCTAAAATTAAATTAAGTTCGACTCAACACCGTAATGCATGTAAATGATGACACTGGAACGGTACTACCAGCCCAATAATGGGCGATTTATTACACCAAGGGACCAAAACCGAGTTCCAGGTCGGCTTTCTTATTACATAACTGCAAAATGACAGGGATAGCGATCTGATCGCCATAATTATCATTTTGGAACCAGTTATCATTCGCTTCATGTTCACTCGTAGTAGCTGAGAATGTTTTCAAAACGTCAAGGTACTTGAGCTGTGCTTCTGATGTGATGTAACATCTGCTATATTATAGGCCGATATGCCATTCCTCCATACTTGGCATCAAAGCGAGTAGTTAAGGCGTAGGCTAACGACTAGCTAGTGCACAATTATGGCATTCAGATCGCTATCATAGCAATTGTCTTACATAATACAAATGAAGGTAGTGCCAAGCCACTGTTTCCATAATTTGATCTTAATGTTGCTACTTCCTAGTTCCTATTTCTGTCAAAAAGATAATTCACTGTACGTCATGCTTTAATATAAAAAAACAAAGTCGATTTGTTACCTAGGGGTTTGGTAGTCTTTTATTTAAAAAATGTTGAAAAATGACGCCCACCTGCCATACTAATGTTCTTAATTGTCTCTACTGCTAGGGAGCTTCAAAATGAGGCATAGCTAATCCCTATATACTCGTAATTTAAAAACCTCATCTGCTGTCATTTTTGCGCTAAAATATACTATTCGTGTATAGTTCACGGCAAACTTACAGTATCTGTTTATATTTTTTCTGCTTTTCTATGATACCAATACGCATTTAGTATGGTTCTTATATGATACATGTCCAAATAATAATGGTTCATTTGCATAAAGTACGAGTATACATGTGAGAAATGTGCAATCACGTAAAAAGCAACAACAGTTGCTTTAAATTTAGCGAATCTAAAAAAATCGCAGTTTCGATATGGGCATAGCAACAAATTCACTCAATTTGACTGTGGTACATATAGCTTAACCGACTCGAAGCCGCCAGCCCCCAGCTCCTTCCCACGCCCCGCACCTCCACAAGCTGGTGGGTGCGTCCAGACGATGTACAGAGGAGCCGCCTTCTCGGTTTTATGGCTTTTAGACGATCGCCGATAAAAATGTACACTATAAGTTTGTCGTGGACTATATCAGTTGTATCACCCCGAATTTCAATAAGATAGCTTAAGTCGTTCAGAAAAAAGGTGGAGGGGCCTTTTTAAAAAGCACTTTAAGCTACGTGGGACAAACACGGTGAATTCTATGAATATCGCAGATACTATATATGACGACACCTGCGTAGTTCAGATAGGTAGTTCAGCTGCTTCAGTTGGAACGATGCCGTATACTTTATTACCTTCAATTCCGAACGCCCTTCAAGCATGCTCGCTAGCAGTTAGGCCCGCATCATCGGTCTTTACGACACCTCTTGATGAATCCCGCAGGTCTTAAAATCCCGCCCAAAATGGCATAAAACCGCGTAAAACGGCTGCAATACGACCGGGGCACCTGCATGGAATTGGCCATTACGTTAAGGCACTCCTAGACCTTTGAAAGCTATGGGATTATAGTCGGGAATGTTGATGTCGTGAGAAGAACTTATGAGGGCAGTTTAGAAGTATCACTTATGGGCAATCTCATATTCGTAAAAACTAAGAAATTGATATCGACAATTAGGACGAAAGATCATATCAGGACTTGACGCACATTCCATAGGAGGATAGAGAGCTCTTTATCGATACTTTTCAAAAATATGTCTTCTCCTAAATGGCATTACAAAGTAATTATATCTAAAAAATACAATGTGTTCCACAATGTTGTTAGGTATATTCAGGGATACGTGAACATATGAAAAAAGTTCAACAGTACCTGCATTTTTGACCAAACAACCCCAAAGACTACCAATCCCCTTTGACCTTTCGGGTACTTTGTTTTGAACTTAAATAGTCTCTTTGCGTGTGTTCTTGTCGCTGACCGCAGACGGGCGAGGCGGAGGTGGAGGCGGAAATGGACCTGGAATACTCGACCAATCTGCTGCAGGTGGAGGGGATACAGGAGAGATGGACATGGACACCAGCGAAGACGAGTACCCGGAGCAGCTGTTCCGGGGCCATCGGGCACCACCAGATGGAGGTCAGTTTCATTGTAAAGCTGACACAGTATTTTTAAACTTTTTTAATTAACTGAAGTTGATAATGAGAGTAGATTGCACGGCGATACCCCGGATGCCACGGTGGTAAAGTAAAAACCCCTACGCATCCGAGCATCTCTAAAATGATCCCGTTCTATAATAGGAGATCCGTTAATCAGGGGCGCACTATGTGTTCATCATGCTACCAATTATAGCATATTAATAAAAAGACGAGTTGAGAATGTTCATAGTCAGGCTGCAGTCAGGCACCGATTCCACCACATCCAAAAATCGGCGTAAATGAAAATTTGCTTCTGAGTAGGTCCGACGCGTACATTCCGAATTCGGTGTCAGATTAATACTACACGGAATTAATTTTAGAGGTGCGGTATTCGAGTATATAAGCAACATCAGGTATACGGCGCTATTCCAGACTATGATCGTGAACCAAAAAGAAGGAGAGCAGCAAAAGAGATCACACGCCGATGATAACGCGCCATCTTTTTGTATATGGCCAGAAACCAGCGCGCCGCGTCAGCATAGGCGTACATTGCATTTCGCTTCTCACTTCCTTTTCGGTTCCCGAATATGGTCAGAGCCGTGATCAATGCTTAAGCGTGTTTAATGAAATCTGTAAAAAGTCATAGATGTTTGCAAGTTCTACGTGCATATGGAAGACTGTAGTTGGTTTGTTTGCATCAGCTCATTTTTGTAACAGCGAAAGACTTACATGTAGGTGAACTATTATGGAATACAGATGACAATTAAAGTAAAACCCTGACATTTTCCTTCCGTTACCGTAGACATGTTGAAGATGCAGCACTCATTGTTTAACTGATTGCACGTCACGTCACAAAATGATAGCGATGGCGATTGTCAGACGGAATTCGACCCTCCTGGTCGAATTCATTTCGTCTACGTAGTAGGTATCATTCGCTTGTAGTAGCTTTGTGTGTTGCCCAAACGTCAAGAAGGTGCTGTCGGCGTGATGTGTTTGACTTTAGCGTAACATCTGCTTTCTTGATGGCACTAGCGGAGGCCATTCATAGCTTCTATGTCGTAAGCTTTAGCGACAGCGACGTTTGTGCCATTTCTCAATAGGAGGCGCTCACCGTAAGTACTGGTAGGCATGGCGTGGGCAATCGACTAACGTATTCTACCTGAAGATAGTCGTATACAGTATCCCGACGCCCAAAAGGGATCTGAAAGATCTTAGCGCCATCTACGAGATAGTAGCAGAACACAAAAAAATGAATGAATGATAAGAGTTGAAATGCGGTATTGATTAAAATATTCCACCTGAAGATATCCAATTAAAATGGGCATTAGAAAGGCGCCAAAAAGGAATGCTTTAACCAAAGAGCAGTTATAACAATAGAGGACACCTCGTGAAATGTCTTTTTAAACCACCGGTCGGCTCGATTGAACTTGGGAGTCCTCTACATTACAGTAAGGAAGTCGGTCGCAATTTTTTTGTTAAATCATCGCGTACGGATAGGATACAGTAAACTTTACTCACATCTTACTATTTTGATGCTAAGCAAGCAAGTTTGCCGAGTTGCATTAAAATAAGCAAGATTTGACTAGTTTTTAATGAAACCTTTGCGGTGGGCTTTTGGACTATTACGGGTTTGGCGATTCGCTAATAGATGCCATTGCATGTACCGAAGCGGTGTTGCCAAACTGCTATAAAATGTTTAGAAAACGCTACATGTATACTGAGACGATTGGTCAAATAAGCAATATGATGTAAGAAAACTGTTATTTCAAGCTAACGTTCCTCTTTTGTTACTAAACTAAATCGTGTAATATTCCTAGTGGTCCTGAAAGTTAAATAGCTGTGTGATAACTTACAGGTATTGAGAATAACTTCTCGCGAAATGAAATATATATTTCCAAGGCTGCAAACGGATGATAAATATCGCTACTATGAATAAATGCCCAAGCAGAAGTATATTTGAACAAAAATGTTTTCACTACAAGTGATAGTCAATGAATTCATCCAAAAAGGATTATCTATCTGACAACACCGGATTTATCTCCGACTAAATAAGAATAGCACGTGTTTAGACGCCATCAGCTGTTTTGTGGACGCCATGTTTTTGGATACACATCTCTTCATGTAACTGCTCTTTTCAAGGTAGGATTCTAAAGTTATGTGCTCTGCTACTGTCCCACAGATGGCGCTAGTATCTCTCAGATAATTTTTTGGGTGCCAGAACAGTTATGGTTGGTTATATTCAGGTCAATACGTTAACCAATGTTAGTACCTAGTCCAAATTATCGCGATCAGATCGCTATCATAGTAATCATTCTACATATTTTTTCTAATTGGGGCTTCGAGGCTCTTCAGCATTATTTGATGGACATATTTGAAAACGGGAAATGAAAATTGAAATTTTAGAAACTTTTAAGGCACTGACTTAAAGTTTCATAAATTCTTCTGTATCTACAACCTCAACCAAGACCTGTCTGCTGAATAAATCTTTAAGCTACTACACACAAGCCGGCGGCAATGCCGCCGGGTTTATGCCGAGCGGCTATGCCGTCGGCAATACAAGCCGCCGGCACAAGCCGCCAAGCATCATTCCGGTTGTGACAGTCATACATAGAACGCTAGTAAAGTGCATATTTTATGGTTGGTTGGTTAAAATGAATAAGGAAATCATCAGCACAGCCGCCGCAGTTGTAATTTTTATTTTAATAAGAAAAAAATACAAAATTACGAGAAGGTTTTGGTTGCACCCAAGTTTACAAAATAGAAAATGGCGGAACGGTACTGTAATGATAGAAGAGTATAAAAAAGATGATGTGGGGTGTCAGCGTTTGCGCAATAGCATGTTTTTTGGGTTTCTGTACATCGTCTATGCCTGCACCAGATTTGTGCAACTGTTCGAACTTTTTTTCCCGAAAATAATACGAGGTTACATTTTTTAACTTTCTCTCTACTTCCCCTTTATCAATGTCAAATACACTTGCAATTATGTTCAATGCGTCCATTCGATTGTTCCTATTCTTATAGTCTGCATTTCTGGGATTCCATAATATATCATCTTCATGAAATTTTTCAATTAAGAGCAGTACAGCTTCGTCGTCCCAATTAAACGACATTTTAATTTGTTTAAACACACAAACCGCACAACACTACCTCTCGAATGCCAGGAACGAAGTGACGCCGGCAAGCCGCGTAACCCGCCGGCACACCCCGGTGGCTTTGTATGCCGCCGGGTGTACGGAGGCTTAGCCGGCGGCACTGTGTGTAGCAGCCTTTTGGCCTTTTTTGTTAAAATCGGCGGAAAGATCCAAAAATTCTCATTTGACTACTTCAAATAGAGTTTTACCACTTCTTTGATGGTCGTATTCTAAATTAGCTTGGAAAATTAGCCCTATGTAACTGGTTTAGTCCGATTGTAGCAAAGGAGAACAAAAATAGAAAGGTATTTTACCTGCCAAAGCCATATAATTTTTATAAGCAATATTACGAGACAATTTAAAAAACTGCGTATCTAAGAATGAAGTTCACATTACTTCTGGATATACAAAGAAGTTTGGGGTCACTTCAGAGAGTCTGTTTTACAATTTTATATAATTATTTCCACAGTGCTAACAGAAATCAGTCAACCAGGTAGCCAAGAAGACGAATCATCAGAAATAACCGATGATCCTCCTGACTGCTTATCAGACAGGAAAACGGCCTTAGCAGAAGGCCTTATGCAGCTTTATGTTCCTGAGTGTACTCCAGATGGGAGGTATCAGAAGGTAGGCCAAATTAATTTTAAAAATAAAAAAAACGGTGTCTGGTAGATCCTTCTACAACATGCGGCCCGCTTAGCATTTTCCTGCGGCAATTTTCAAAACAACCAAATTATGCGTCATGCGAGCGATCATGCCATTGCATTGTCTACAGATGTGTGCCATGTGGTCTGTTGGTACATTCATTTCATTCAATTTCATAAGCACTTGCCTGTTCAATACCAAGAAATAAGAAAATTTGCTTATAATATCTTGTCAATGTTTAAAAATACCTATAAGTATGAACAATTATTTTCTTTGATGAAAGGAAACAAATCTGCCGCAAGATCGCGATTGACAGACGCACATTTAGACGCAGGTATTTCTGCCGATAAATTTACGCCACAAATAGTCAACTTAAAGACAAATGATTCCAAGTACCTGGAAAAAGAAGTTAATCATTGTGTTTTTTGTAATGCCCTTTTTATGGAAAAATGAATAATGTATTATAATAGCAAGTTTTGGCCCACAAGTGACTTTGAGTTGGAAATAGCTGCTCTACGGGGTATCCTGAAAACTACGTATCATAGAAAAAAAATTCAAACGAAAGTTCTCAGGCTTCTACGGGGAAAATGATGGTGACCTTGGCAATGACTTTGACCACGACCGTCAAGGTCATTTAAGCGTCAGGTAAATATTTTCAAATAGAACCCCACCATTTTTACCCCGGAATTGAAAATAGAATGAAGTTTACGTGCAAAAAAATGAACATGACCCTAAAGATCTTTTCAAGGCATCAATTTGACCTTCAAAACCCTATAACTTTATCGTATTCTATTAAAGAGTTATTAATGATAGAACATTGACCAAGCCTTAAAGTAATCACAAGTTTATGAAAACGAGAAAAAACAAACTTTGGCATTTTTTTAAAAATCATCTTTTTTGACTAAAACCAAAGCTGTTAAAACTTGTAAAACGCACCAAACCGATGCTATTGTTGTTGTTTTGTATTTTCTACTTTCGACGCCACTAACGAGGAAAGATTGTAATCGCGAAAGATATCGAAAATGAGATATGTTGTTTGGGTGTTATATGACATGTACGTACATCAAGACTGACTGACTGGTATGCATGTGGACTAATCATTGGACTACTGCTGGGATTTTAATGAAGTTTGCACACAACAGGTTACGATTATGCCACCGACAAAAAAGCTTTGCAAATTGGATCAGTGGCGGCGCAGCGACAGGCAAAAATCAAAGAGTATAAAAATTGGTCAAACGAGGACCATTTTCTAAAAAATTTTTGTAGGAATTAAAAATGGGAGGGCTGTAGGGTATATCTCAAATTTTTTACGTTAGATAATATCTTTATGCAGCTAACCCGGCAATTCTAGGCATATTTCCATTACCTTGGGACTATAGGGGGATACAGGGCAAAGGGGGAACGCTACACGGACTCTGGCGAGGGAACACGTGTGCATGCAACATGCACACATTCTGGTCCCGCCTACGAGATCCGCCGGGTGGTACCTCCTCGTTCGACAGTCAGAGACCGTCTACCACCTACGGACAATCACAACATCCATAGCCAAGAGAAAATTTTCTCCTGGGACGGGATTCGAACCCGCACAGCGCACGGCGACTGATCAGGAGACCGAAGAGTCTACTAATGCGGCTACCGCTGCTGCCTGCTTTGTATTCAAAACAAAATGTTGGAGAAATATTTCACTACACGTGTCTCTGTATATTCTTTTGTCCGGGTCTCACTAATTGGTGTATGTGTTTCGTAGACGGTGGTGGCTCTTGTGGAACCAATACTGGCCAGTGGCGAGCGACTAGGTATAGGCGAGGTTATAGTCATAGCAAAGTTGCCAGACACTCGGTACTGTTGTTAGGACAGTGAAAAATTGTCTAGGGAATAATTGTATGGACCTGTTTGACTGACTTGAACTGTTGAATGTTTATATGTTCGTAGATAACTTTTTGCTCGGCGGAGCTAACTGTGATACTATGACCCCACAGCACAATCCGTCCCAATTTCACTAAATAAATGCAACCATTCTAAGATTATGAGTATAGAAAACGTCAACAGACAGTTTCACGGGAAACTTGTTTGATCGCGACATAACCCTACTATTGATGGTCTCTATTGATTGTCTGTATACTTCACTATGGGCTTAAAAATACTGAACAGGTAGTTCATTTTTGATAATATTGGTATTATAGATTTTACTATGCATCTTTCTTCAGTTTAGCATAATATAATCCTATTTTATAGATCCAATGCTACAAGTCGGCAGGTTACTGTTGGTGTGTGAACGAGGACACAGGTAGAAATATAGCTGGCACATCGGTTAAAAACGGTCTACCGAACTGCAATCAGCTGAAGACCTCGAACAGGCCAATGAAAGGTTGTCCAGATGATAAGAAAATTATATTCCTGAAGGAGCTTCTCCAGTTCTTGCATACCAAGATGTCAGAAATTGTAAATAGGTAAGTCGGTACAGTGACGGCTACAGCTTTTTCGGGTGGTCACAATGTGCGTTTCAAAAAATACTAGCCCGCTAGACAAAAATGGATTTATTTATAGAAAGAATCGTGTTTTCTGAACAAAATTGCAACCTCGTTTACTGTGCGCTTTCTTGGTGAAATCTGATTCGTCGATACAAAATCCAATGTCTTTTTCTAAGAACCGCAAATTAACTAAATGTACTGAGATTCGCCCGCTTGTAGACACGAAAAACGGGAATGAAAATTTTGTATCAAAGTTATAGTTGTTATAAAACGTAGGTATTATCAAATCGATAATGGTTTTTCAATGGAATATGACAAATTAAATGACATCAACAAATCATGCTTGTTAGCAAACACATCAGTTAATATAAGGCTATTATTTCCTGTTCAAGCTTGCAACTGTCCGTAAGAAACTGATGCATGTTTATCTGAATTTCCATTTTGAAGTTTCTATTTCACGGGCTTAACCGGCTTAACACATTTTGACGTAAGATGTGTCTCTAGATTTGTCTGAATAATGTGAGTGACACTGTGTATACTAAAATAATATACAATTAAAATGGCGAAATTTGAAAATTTCAATTTCACGCGCTTCACAGGCCAAACAGCTCAATGGATTTCGACATTTGATAGCACAACTAAATCTGCATTCTATTCAGTGGCTGCAGTCGGTTTTCGTTACAGTATTGCCATCTCTATCAAAATCCGCAGAACTTTTCCTACAACTCAATGCTTTTTTATGACCACCAGGTGCAACTAAGCTATGTATGAAATGTCATTCCAGTACAACCAGCTTCAACAATCTAGCGTGGATAGGCTCGAAGGAGGAACAAGCGGCCACCTGGAGCTTCGTGGTTTTCGACAAGAACAAAAACAAAATGTTGGAGCGAAGCGAATGGAAAAGCTTTAAGGACATGGTGGGGACTGTGAAGAGTCTCAGGAAGTGCGGCAAAAAGTTGCCGAGGTACTGTGATAGCAACAAAGATAGACAAATCAGTATGACTGAGTGGTTGGAGTGTTTAAATGTACAGCAAGGTCAGTACTGTAGTCAAAGTCAAAATCTTAAACTAGTAGCATAATTAATGGTACCCTTCTGATCTAGGTGATTCATAGCGCTAAGGCGCAAGTACAAAAATACTAGTCGCATTCCACCGTTACACCGTTTTGTTTATAAGCTTGAAGCTATGAAGTTACACTATTTCTCATGAGCCACACGATGCACTTTGTATTCGAAGAACAAAAGTTTTTCAACTCGATTTGATTTTCATAATCACGTTTGTTATTCGCCCTTTAGCATAAATCAAGAGGTTACCGAGCGGTCACCTAGTGGAATTTGTGTAAACAGTTTCTTTTACAAATTCTTTTTTTTTTCGTTGTGGACAAAGTTATCTTAGGTTTTTTTGTATCTCCTTAAAAAATACCATTTTTGAGCTACAAGCCCTTTAAGGTCTGAAGAACTCTAAGGCCATATTCAATCTCTGGTTAACTCTCAACCATAACTTCGAAGTTAACTATTAGTTGTTCGTAAATTGGTAAATTTTGTGACGTTCGATGTGTAACGTCCTAACCTCGCGATGTCGACGCTAAGCAACCAGAGTTACACCATCACGTATTGCAGCTTGCGAAGTTTCGAGAGCGATTGCGTTCACTTGCGTGAGAGTTTGTGACGCTGTCTAGAAGGAATCTAGTTTTTGCTAGAAAATGCTGAAGAGTGTCGGGAACCGTCGATTCACAAATAAATGCCCGACTAGATGGCGGAAGCAGTTAGGCACGGTCGAGACAATCAAATAATGCGGAATGCCGCAGTCCAGTCGACATGGTTATAAATTGTCATAAATTTGTATATTAGCGTAAAAGTAATAAATGCCTTTGGCCAGTGAAAACGGTGTTTTCGTTTCAGATGTTAGTGCGTCCTGTCATTCGGGACAACACATGTCACTGCCAAGCAGAAAAGCTTAGGCATTCCGATTTAGCTATAACTCGTAGACAGTTAAAGTTAACTACCGTTTTACGGCAAACCTGACATTGAAAACCACGTTAACAGTAAAATTACAGTTAACCTGCGATTGAAAAAGCGGTCCAAAAACGGTCAACTTTAAGCAAAATGATCCAAAAAAGCCTAAATAAAGTTCTTATGATCGTCCACACGTGACTTGTTTAAACAGTACTATTTAGGGCTCAAATTGAAAAATATTTCTAGGTGGAAGAAATAGATACTACACGATACCCTTTTACCTTATCCACACGTAGAGAAATGATTTTGGGAATGATGATGACCTTTCGGTGAATTGAATATCAAGTTTTTTTTCAATTTCAGGTGTGATATCTGTAACATCTCCCCCATCCTCTCGTGCAGGCAAGAAGAACCCTCTCAGTATATTAAAAGACGACTAGAAGATTTTAGTGAAGTGCTAGACCTCAACGGAATCGTCACTAGTACAGGAATACTATGATAAAGTACATGAAAAAGAGACATACGTTTTCATAGCACTATTTAGACAAACGTATTGAAAACAATTATCTTACGTTTAAATTGAAAAAAGCATATATCATGGCTTCTATATATATACGACTGCTATCAAAATTGCTGCTCCTATACTCAATTTGAACGTAGGCGTCTGTTTTTATATATTTTCTTAATTTAAATTGATATAAAATATTTAATATTACATTCAACATATCATTCCAGTGAAGGTATTTCTATGCCTATTCAAGAATGATGGACAATCTTCTTTATTATGACTATACTATTGACAAAACGTGTGTGGTCAAAGGACTGTGTTTCATTTGCAACCTCATCTTCGTTTTTTATGTTTTCCTTGTGATGTAGTTAACTCTGTACAGCTTATATTATGTTTTGTTTTTTGTATATGTATACATGCCCGTAGCTTATTTATTTATAGTATAGAGAACGTAAAAATGTAATTATTAAACGCACTTGCCTCCTTTACCGAAAAACTTAGATCTCAGAAAGAAATATGTAATATACAGGATGAGAAGTGTTGAATTGTCTCTTCATCTATCTATTTCCATGATCACAAAAACCATAACAATACATCTAGAACTAGTTTTTCAAACCTACGAATCTTGAGCTTGGTATTCGCATCAAGAAATGGAGTTTTTGACAGTGTAAAGCGGCATGAAGCATTTTGTCACGAAACTCCAACAAAAAAGAAGTTACTTTATCGATATATGAGAGAAGTTATTATTAGGAATTATCTTTTTTCTTAAATTCCTTGAGCTTCATGCAATTTTATATCTGAATCTATGCAAATGACGGAAATGATAAATTCCGTTATTACACTTTAGATGTTCTAAATAAGTAGGTAACTGATTCTCGTATATGTTGTTAAATAATAATCAGATTTTTGGGCAATTCAATATCAGCTGGATACTTGGAACGAATTAGTAAAGTTTCAGTAGAATAGGAGGGATGATTTGGTTTATTTAACAGAGTGGTAGAATTGGAATTAGATTACTTATTGGAAAGAGGGCGTTCATCCAAGATCACAGCACTAACTCCCCATTGGATCAGTTATGTCTTCTCCAAGGATACTGAAGAATGGATCACCATCCACTCTAAGCTGTTTGAAGAAGGTAATCATAAAATTCAGCGGAGTGTCCCGTTCTCTTATACCGAAGAAACCGCGTAGGCAGAAACCTAAATACCGAGGCACCGCAGCTGCTACGAGGAGCTTGAATAGACTTTGTTAATCCGATTTTTGAACTGCCTCAGATTAGTAAAACTGAGACAAGCCGTCCCAGGCAGATTATTCGACAATCTCGAAAGCCTCATCGAGCAGATTGTTACACAATCTCGACAACTTAGGAACAAATGAGCGGTCGTACTGGCCAGTTCTGGATGTATGAAGTTCGACAGAGTTAGCACTGGAGGCAGAAGCCTGTGCTGATTCATCTGGCAGGCTCAACGCGCAGCGGCATCATCGAGCAGAGCTCTGAGGAGCAAAGCCCGTTGACCTTCTGCCACCTGGCGGTGAGCCCAGGTAGCAGAAGGAGACCCGTATCGAAAACATTTCTCTATCATACCAAGTTTGAAAAGCAAATTTAATTTATATAATACTACTTACAGACAACTCGTTAATTAGTCATTCTTTTTAAGAATGATTACTGTGTTCTTGTTCGACAATTCTGGAAGAATTGCTGGATCGACAGGATATAATTTTATAATGGTTTTTAGAACATAGAACGGAGGCTAACCGCACATTGGACTGCGTTACTGGAGTCGTTTTGGAAAAACCATCCCCGTAGACGCAGTTATAGGAGGCGAATGTGGCACTAACACCTACGTTGGCCATGGACCTGTTTTAAACTATCATTTATTGACTGGTCAGAATACCGTATGCTAAACCAAACAAAGATCTTATTACACCAAGAAACACTAAGACATGTTTTTTATGCGTTTATACAAATGTTTAGTGTCTCTTATCATGAAAGTATCTTATAACGTGTATTTATCAATACAACGAGTATTCGTATATTATTATACCAGTTTTATATATATATATATATACAGAGATTGGTTGGTATTTGTAGAGAAAGTCAGGAATAGAGCTCGCCATGGGGGTTAATTTATTTTGTTAATCTTTCACGCCTATTATTATGCCTAAATCTTAATGCTCACCTTAATTTCATATGTTCCAAATTAAGAATGATGTTTTACACTATTGAAATCCCAAATATCGTATATTATGAGAAAATAACTGCAATAAATAATAAAGGCCGGTCTAGACGCTACGTTTTGCACAACCTGTTGTCTGCGCAGTCTTAGGACAGAATGAAAACGTGACAATTTTTAGAGCGTCTACATGGTGCAGGGATATCTGTATATTTCGATCAGTTTTGTGTGATATGGTCATGGAAGAGGTACTCTGCTCAATTTTGGCACGGTGATCGTTGAAAAAAGGTATTGGAACGTCTCAGAAGTACCCGGCGTTCAAAGTGATCGCGTGTTTGCAACTGAATCAATTTCTTTGATTTTTCCACTAAACTCTCATAAGCCTCCCCCTTTTTATCCCTGTCACTACACTCCTTCGATTTGACTCGCCAAATGCATGGGAAACTGTCGTATAATCAAATAAATTCTGTGATAAACTCCTGAGAACATGGTCAGCCGTTGTGGCCCGACGAATTGGAACTGAGTAACAAAGTGAATCGGAAATCGGTGCTAGGGTCTACATGCTCCGACTTATCCGCATAGTTTAAGGACATCTATGCTCTTTCGCTCAGTTATCGCCACAACTGTACCGTCTTCGCGCCGGATACAGAACTGCAAACTTCTTCTACACACAACGTTTTATCTGCAACATGTTGAACTTTACAGTCAAAAGGTTGTGCAAAATGATTTTTTATAATACACTTAAAAATGGCCGTCGAAAATTGAAGTTGAAATAACACAAAATATAGCTTCCATCTTATAGAATACTTTTACCACCTTGAGACTTCTTATAAAACGTTTTTGTCCGGTGCCTAAAGGTGGCTACATACACAACTACAAGCTTATCCAGCATGCTTATTCAATCTTTTTGTACAAGAATGCACAGTTTGCCTTTGGCACCACACGTACAAGCATGCTTGATAAAAATAGAGGTAGTTTAACAAAATATAACTCGGACGACGATGTGCTCGCTTTGGCCGCTTTTGTTCTTGTGAAGAAAAGAAAATCCCGAAATACAAAGCGTGCGGTATGGAGTAGACAATGGTTGATGAAAAGGAAAACCTATTCTCACATGAACTTACTAAGTGAGATGAAAATATATCCGCGTGCCTGGCAGAATGATCTTAGAATGGATGAAGAGACGTATTTAAACCTTTTGTCTCTCGTATCACTTTTGATTCAAAAGCAGGATACGATCATCAACGGCCGTCAACTTGTGCAAGCTTGCAAAATCTTGGGTACACACGTACCATTTTGCAAGCACAAGCGCGTCTAATTCAAACATGCATAATTAAAATCAATCAATCCTCAACAAGCATGCTGGACAAGCTTGTAGTTGTGTATGTAGCCACCTTTAGGCACAGCGCAAAAACGTTTTATCAGAAGTCTCAAGGTGGTAAAAATATTCTATAACATGGAAGCTATATTTTGTGTTATATCAACTTCAATTTACGACGGCCCTTTTTAAGTGTATTATAAAAAATCATTTTTCCAATCATGAAATATCTTAATTTACTGCTTTATTGGTATAAGATGGCTCATTTGAATTATTTTATTACAATACAGGCCAGAATAACAAAAAACAGAATGGAAATTATAACATTTTCTCTTGAAATTTAGCAATAACTAATAGACCTGAGGAGCTTGAAAATTTTGCTACATATATCCCATATATTATACAAAAAATTCTTGCGCAGTAAAATATCAAGCATCAGATTACAAATCGAATTTCTGTCTTTCTGGTATTATTGGGTGTATTCTTGCTAAAAAACCTAATGCTTACCTTTTTCTTGTATCAAGGATCATTAAAAAACCAATTATTCTCTGTGGGTGCAATTTAACAACAAAAGCAAACTTTTAGTGTTAGTCAAAACAAGAAAGCTGTATCTAAGATAATAAAAAAAACTTTTATCAAATTATGTTATTCCAGTTCTATAACGGTTTTCTATAAAACGGTTTTATAATTGCTGCATACTATGTTTTAAAATAATTTTAAAAATGTTATCAAGTAAAATCGGTTTTTTCTTTTGGGTTTATAAGCATTGTATAAAAGTTGTTATAAAATTTATGGCGGCATTGTTGTTTTAAAAAAATAATTTTTCAACGTAGTTAGAACATTTATAAACATAAATTGTTAGTTGGGCTACAACTCTTTTATAAACCACTTATATCAATAGGCTTTGCTATACGTGAAACAATGATTTTCCCAAATTAGGCGCTTAATACAAAAGTAAGTAACCAATTTTTTTTCTCTTTAGATGAGGTGGTTTTTTATGTATCCTCAATATAACTCCAGTATACGTCTATACACTTTGGTTTATCTTGTTCTGTTCGTTAATACACCGATTTTTAAAAACAAACATGAAAACATTCATTATGGTCCACAATCATTCGCAGTGAAACCATAAGAGATGTCAGAAAAAAACATTTTGAATTCACAAATTTACGATCATAAATACATATACATCATATATCAATATTAACATACGTTTTTAATATTGAAATTTGCAGCTTACAACTAGCGTTTTTATAACATCATATCATTTGTATTTGATGATTCGATATTTACCAACATGAGCTTTATGAACCGCAACTTGGAATGAACACGTTTCACTTACCATCATAGCAAGATCTTCTCGCACTCCTGGCTTCCACGACCGAATTTAAACGCACACAAAAAATGTTAGTTTTACGCGCAAACAACGTAATGCAGATGGCATAAAGACACTTTTCAATCAAAAATTTTCAGTTTTATAGTACATTTCTCTCACCAAAAACTAAATGAAAGTGCAATTTGCATATTACCCATAACGGAGCCGGCGAAACTGAAATGATTGTGTATAAACTGCCAATAACCAATAAAAAACTGGTAAACAAAACAAGTGCAGAATAGGGAAGCTCGAAGACGGCCGACGTCCGACGTTTCAGTTCGAGTGAGAGTTGAAACAGAATTCTTGGAAGAACGGCGGCCGGTGCTATACAGGGTGTTCCTTGATGATGTGCTAATACTCCAGGAGACGATTCCTTAAATCATTTTATGACGAACATAATATGTTCACAATGGTCTAAATTTTTTATTAAAGGGTGTTGAACTTTTAAAACAAATGTTTCTATTTTATATCTTCGAAAGTGCTTCAGATATTTTTATCTTTGGCATATAAAATGACATATTTATAAGCTTGCCTTGTGACAACTTTTTATATTAAAATATGTCATTTTACATCATCCACTGATGTAAACTATGTTGGATGCTAAATGATATATGATTTTTAAATGATAGCTAGATCATTTCTTATTTATTCATAAGCTGAGGCATAGAATATTGTTAAAGAGAAGTGTACTAGCTAGCTAAAATTAATTGTAACAGAAATGTACAATTACAAAGATTTTTATAAACTACCAAGAATATATGGTCAACGTTATCAATAAAATCACGTATAGAATAAGCAACAATGATATAATACCCTGCAGTACAAAATAGTCTAAATTAGCTTTAAAGTAAGTCTATCCTTATCCTCAAAAAAATCGTTCAATGAGTAAAATCTTTTCAACTTTGAATTCCGGTAAATTACGTACATTTAAATGAGAACTATTTAACATTTTTAACAGTATATGGTGCATTTTTCTGTATAAAGCCAAAGTTACACTTATCTGGGATAAGGTCTTTTTTATGCCTAGTCATGTGATTATGTTTGTTTGTAGCATCGTCAAACAGATCTCTGTTTTTAAAAACAAATCTAAAAGCGTCCAATATATAAACAACAGTTAGAATTTTTTTACTGATTTCCATTTGTTTGATTTTAAATAAGGTGCTTAAGGATTTTTTGTAAGAATCAAAATTCTGTTTATATCCCGCGAGTTGTCCCAGAAGATCAGACCATATCTAATTCTAGACTGAACGAACGCATTGTATGCCGATAGGGTAGCGTCGAGATCATTCCTAATCACTCTCAATGCAGAGCAATGCCTGGAGACACGCAATGCAACATACTCAACATGCGCCCCCCAGTCCAGTCGCCTGTCAATCCTAAGACCCAGAAAAGAAATGCCTTCTGCTGTCCCAATATCTGTATTTTTATAAGAAAACGAGAGAGCAGCATCCGTTCTATTTTCAAATAAAATACACTGGGTTTTAGGCACATTAAGGCAGAGATCATGAGCCCCAAAAAAAACCCCTCAAGTACGTCACAGGCCTTCTGAACACCAGCCAACATCATATGATTTTCAATCCATTGGTGTACAGAATGTACAGCAATGGTCCCAGAATAGAACCCTGAAGAACCTCCCTGGCGACTTTTATCTTTTCAGAAGCAATAAGCCTGCCCCGGGAATCATTTTCAACAACCTGTTGTGTGTGGTTTTGTAAATAGAATTTAATTAGTTCACAAGCATTACCTCCAATTCCAAAATTATCAAGTTTTTCAGTAAGTATTTTGTGATTGACACTGTCAAAAACTTTTGACAAGTCAATACATACTGCCACTGTTTCATTTTTATCATTAAGTGAGTTTAAACTGCTAGCTATAGATTGATCAATACCCCCGTATGGTACACTTTTTTCTTCTGAAGCTGTTCTGGCGGTCAAAAAATTAATTAATCTACTTTTTCAAAGATACTTCCTATGTTTTTTGTCTGTAATTTTTTTCATCATCAACTTCACCTTTTTATAAATAGCTTTTACAAGCCCATTTTTTAGATGATCTGGAAAAAATGCATTCGTGAAGCAGATATTTATAATAAAAGATAGAGGCTGTGCGATATAGCCAGCGAGTTCTATTATTATTCTAACAGGTAAGTTATCATCCCCCACTGATTTTTTGTTTTTAAGAGAAGTTATCACTTTCATGATTTCTTCTTTATTAGTTGGAGACAACAAAATGGTATGTCCATATCGGTTTGACGTTAAACTTTCGCTGTTATTTTTTTTAGTTTTTGGACACGCATTTATAAAATATCCGTTCAACTTATTAACAATTTTTTGCGGATCTTGATAATTTTTTGCATCCTTAATTTACATCATTCAATATTTTGCAATATTTGTTATAAAAATCACGTCATACATTATATTGCCTTTTATTTTTTTATAAGATTATTTTATTTCTACAAGATATAAATGCTACTGTTAGGTATATTTATGAATTTGCATTTTAGCAGGAGGTGAACACTTCCATTTATACTTTTCCTAATAATATTTCTCACCTCTGCTCTAAGCAATATTGTCATGGATCTTTCGCAGAAAAGCAATTTAGAAAATTCGCAGTTTGAAGGAATGAATAAAAGCTCATAAAATTTACTGAAAATTATTTATTTTTCACGATACTCCATTTTCTATTTCATTTTTGTTGACTTGACTAGCATAAAACTTCGCCATTTCTCTCCTTTTCTTTACGAGTATTCTGTGCCCCTCGCAATTCAGGTTGTCAACATAACATTTGTCTTTGCAGCATTTTTTGCAAAGCTTATATTCACATTTCGAACCCTGAAAATAAACAAAATATTGATAAAATTCGGCTGGCAGGCACTGAAACTAAAATCTGATGTCATTATCAACATTATAATTTATATTTCTTTATACATGTAGATAAAATATAAAATTACCAGAGGATTGACACATTTTTCACACAGTGGTCTTTCATTAGGCGTCATATGCGTAGGTTTTTCAGGTCGTCGACTCATTCTTCTAAGTTTTTTCATTTTCTTCCTGCTGATTGGATTGCCATCTGCATCCTCATACTGCCTTTTATTTTCGGAACCCTGCATATAAAAAATAACGAAAATCTATTCAAGTTTCTCCCATTAAACCTATCCAATCGTTATACTAGTTCTCAATGGTTAAACCTAAGTGTTTTCACTTTTTCCCATGTATGAAAATTTGCAAAAAGTGCCCTTCAATGTTCAAACAAGTTTTGCGCCAATGCTGTGACACGTAATCATTTGTAACTTTTCGAAATAAGCATTTTCACGCCTTGCCATTAGAATGCGACCATAATCTTTTACTTCTATAATATTCATAGCTTCAGCAAATTGAATAAATGTTGCTTTCTAGAGGGATGCAAGGAGTACTTGGTTTGTACCCGGCACATTTTACCCAGTACCCAGTTTTGCAGAGTATTAACTTACTCGGCCGGGTAATTTCTAGTAAGCAACGTTAATACCCAAAAATCTCACAAAAACCTTTACTTATACGTAAGGATAATTCAGTTTTAGTTCGTCCCAAATCTCAGTTGCTCCAGCAATGACATGCAGCAGTCTTAATCTGTTTCTTTTTTAACTTCCGCTAAGGTTCAGAAACGATCTTAATTCAGTGTTCCTGACAGCGATTCAATTAGGTATTTTTTCGTTTGAGCAGCTTGGAACCTCGCTTTGCCTACCTTCAACCAAAATGAAGGTTCAAGAGGTCGAGTACATCCTTTTGAATGTTTTACAAGTGTGTTCTTTGTAACAGTAGGGATTGAAAATTAAGTCAAAATCAAATGGTGCAAAAATATAATGTCAAAATATGGTTTCAATTTTAAGATTGTAGCTAGTGAACGCCACGGCGACGAAAATATATCTGAATGTTCCAAGTTTATTAAATATGTAAAAAACAAAACATCTGAAAATACCGTTAATATACTAACTTACACCGTTGCATAACAGTTTTTTTTGTGATGCGTTAATTTTGTAGAAAAATAAATAAATTTTGAGAATAAAGATGCATTTCAAAAACGCAAAAATAATCTTAATAACACTAACGTTACCTGAAATGGCCCAGAGCCTGCTCCACCAAGTACCCGGTACCAGGTATTCGAATCTGACCAAGAACTCGGCACTCGGCTTTTTGAGAAAAATAGTACTCAGTGCTTCCCTTGCTTTTTGTACCTTAAGCCAATATTCCCACCAAAAGCAACCCGACGGTAATTTGACTTCAACTCGATTTGCGATTTCGTCTCGTTTCGAGGTTTTGAATTGTAAAGTATGCACTTACTAGCAAGACTGCTATGTAAATAGAATATATTTATTCTGAAAAGCGTATAAATAACGTATTTTACAAATAAAATCTAGCCAGATCAATCAATCAACATACGTTATTTGACAAATATTCTTCCTTCTATTCTTATTGGGTCTAATGATGATTGATACCCTATCAACTTGATTGTCGCGCTTTTTGTATCAACTGTAGCTCTCCTGGGAGACTTTCAACATTAATAATCCAACTTAATCAGTTAAAAGAATACAAAAATGCGATGGAGAATCACTTATTCGGATTATGAAATTTTTTTTTTTAAATAACGAAGCTGCAGCGCAGGTAGAGGCCTAAATGCCAAGGCTGCTATGAGGATCCCAAAGAAATTTTGTTAATCCGATTTTTGTACTTCTTAAGGTTAGTAGAACTGGGAAAAGCTTCCTCTTCTAGATTGTTCCTCAATCTCGACACGGTCAGGATCGGAGGCCAAAGTCAGGCGAGTCTGTCTGACAGGCACATCGCGCGGCGATATCATGCAGGCGAGCTGTGAGGAGCAAAGCCTGTTGGTGTAACGGTAGAAGAGAGCTAGATCGCCTACGGCTCGAAGGTGTGGAAGGGTCCCGAGACTGTCTGTTAGAGAGGAGTCATCGATCTGTCGGACAGCCCTCCTCTGGATAGCATCGAGCATAAATAATGCAGTCGGGGCGGCAGCACCCCAAACGTGTGAGCAATACTCGAGGCTAGGCCTTATCTGGGCCTTGTATAGAGTGAGGAGGTCATTTGAAGAAAAGTACTTCTTAGCCCTAAACAAATAGCCTAGCTTTTTCCCAGCTTCTGTCGCTATTGACGATGAGATGTGTTCGTGCTAGATCAAGTCCTCGATGATCTGGACTCCGACCAGCTGAAATGAATGGCAGAGCTCGGCCATCCATCGAAACCGCTAGCACGCTTCTTGTTTGTCAAGGTACAGTACTATGTTTTGGAAACATTAAACTGTATAAGATTGTTGCGTCCCCAAGCAGTGATAACCTCCAGGTCTCTCGTCAGAGACGAAGTTGCCGCTAGTCTTCTTTTTTCCAGCTCAGTTGCAGAGATCAGCTTGCCGCTCTGAATTCCTGCATGTAGAGTGTTGTCATCAGCAAAGCTGTGGATGGGGCTGACCGTACAGGAAAGCAGGTCGTTGATATGTAAGAGCAACAGTGTCGGAACCAAGACCGATCCCTGGGGAGCACCCGCGTTGACGTTGTGGGATGAACAGATCCCGTCAATTAGGATTGTTTGAATATGCGATCAGCACGTTAGCTCACATGCACAAGTCCAAATCTGATTGAACTCGAGTTGCTTTGGTCTTTACCACAAACTTTTTTGATTACTACAATACATTTTACAAGTTGTGATCGCTCACCATTTTTTCTTCATTTTCTATCCGCCTCTCCTCAACTTTCTTTACGTAATTCTCAGGAGTATCCCTAATGTATGGCTGACATAACCAAGGTGGCATGATCAAGTTTTGACTGTCTATTTCCATTGACTGATCCCATTTCATAAGACCGCTGTGATACGGTTCGTATATAGCTTTCAACTCGTTCACGATTTGATGAAATTGCTCCATTGTATTTGCTGCTCCTAAACGTATTCGTATGTCGTTATTTTCAGATATTGATAAACTGTAACAAAACAACATGGTATTTTTACGTGTTAATTTTATTTTAAGGGTATATTTTAAAGAAAATCATGACATTACTGGGATCAATTGACTTGGTACCTTATACAGGGTGACTTCGAAGTTGAGTCATTTATTTTAACAGTGAGTAGATCTGATCAAAAGAAATGTTTTTTTCCTTTAACATTTTTGTGGTAAAATTAAAGTAACAAAGTTATAGCCCTTTAGAAGTTTGAGTACCGCCCTGTCTCAATAATAATATGTGCTCGTGTTTGGCAACAACGGATATAATCGGAAACAAAAAAGCGAAAGAATTTGAAACGCTTATCAGGATGTTTTATTCATTTATTTTATTCAGTTGTATTCATTCGATGTGTCAGTCGGTAACGCGTTAGTGGTGTTTCTGCGTGGCTCAAACAAAATAAAAAATGGCACATGTTTACGAAAATGCTGAACTTGTGGACATGATTCTTATTTTACAAAATGCTGCTACGGCAACACGGATTTATGCGGATCGGTTTCCCAATCGAGTGCAACCAACCCCTAGTGCCTTTGTTAATGTAGTACAAAGGGCTCGTGAATCAGGTGACTTAAGTCCTCACACGGGAGGGTATGTGCTCCAAGACCGCACGATCAAATACAGGTCCGCACTGAAATACATGTCGGAGGATATTTTATAAAACAAGGTAACATTTTTTTTTTAATTTTTTTAATTTTTACACACCTATTTTGGTTTATCTCCCTTCTACAATCATTATCTGAAAATTATTGACTCAACTTCAAAGTCACCCTGTATATGGTTGTGATATTGAAAAGAAAAATGTTTACCCAGTTGAATCATTTTAGAAATACTGGAGGTCCCTAGTATTAACGAGTAAACTTCAAAAATCTATTTTAACTTATGTTGTTGATCACAATATATTTTTCAACCAATTTTATTATATGTGGTGTGGTGTGGAGGGTATCTCAGAAAAACATGGAAATACTTCAAGAGTACACCCAATAATAACAAAAATAGATCTGATAAACATGGGTCCTAAAACGCCCCATTAGCAACATACAAGGTAGTGGAAATTTCTACGCCATGAACGAGACTGAATAATGATAAAAAAATAACACTATGGTGAGATTGGATTACTCATAATATACTTTTCAATGTCAAACTTCGGCAAATTTTCAAAGTTTAACAGATTGTAGCTTTTTATATGGATTTTGAAATTATAACTTCAACACTGCCTATCTTGGTAAGGAGGCATTTCAGGACCTATATATATATTAACTTTTCTTTTAATTTTTCATCTACTTTATGCCTTAGAAATATTGCCAGATTTTTTTGAAACACACTGTATATTGTTTTTGGTATGATTCAGTTTTTTTTATCATAACTCTGCCATCAGAGATTTAAAAAATGAAGCAGCAATATCGATACAGCCGTTTCGGATATGATATGGTTACAACATATTTACTTCCAAATTTATGTCACTACATGGGATGTTCAGGATCAACCCTCTCATCGGATTTTTTTGTTAGGCACAATGTCTATCTTGTACACAAACACATGACTGATACATCTTTAAATATAACAACTTGATTGACTATTTTTACACAGTTGATAAAAGCAAAATTAAAAATACGTTCACACGGCCCTGGTTCGATGGAAGCCCCAAAATGAAATTTAAAAAATACTTCTTCATAAACCCCCTCTTTTTCTCTCCAGCCTCAAAATGTGTCCAGGGGGCCACTACATAGCTAAGATGGCTCTGACAACTGGGTATCTTAGGGATGTATCGTCAGACGTTCCTACAATTATAGGGCGCCTTTATGGCATCTTTGACTGTCATAGTATTTTCTCTTCTTCAGATTTCTACACTTCCGTGTCAGCATCAGCGCACTCCTATTTTGAAGTTATGTTTTCTTTTTGAATCTTGAGAAATTTCAGGTTTATAAAACAGATGATAAAAATCAAGCTTTATCAGTCTGAAATTTCTTGGAATTCAAAAAAATACAACCTCATAAAAACTATATTAATTGAATTACAGAACAGATACAATACTTACACATGGTGGAAAAGTTTGAACAAATGCCCCCTGACATAAGACAATGGACATGGATACTTTTCAGCCAAATTCAAATATTCCAAAGCAGGTTCCCAAGCAGGAGGGTTCTGGTACATGAAAACTGCAGGATTGTGCAAATTCCCTTCAGCTGACATCACACCTACTGCTCCAGTTTCTTCCAGACATCTTTCCACATCCTGCATGCAGTGAATGTTGCCATTGGAGATCACTGGAATTGAGACAGCTTCTCTAGAATAACAATAATTCAACAATTATAATCATTCAGATTAAGAGCCCTTCCTCACTGGGACGTCACAGTGACGAGGCAGCATCTGTAGCCAGATGATCCTTCTAAGGTATATGGAAGCACTCTGACATGGTGACCATCTTGGCAGTTTTGCCAATTTGAAAGCATAGCTATAGCACAAATGTCAACTTGTACACTAGGTAGCTGACACTGAGCCTTTAGTTCACTCAGGGCTTACTACAAGAGAAAATGAAGTCAACATCAGCTAGTTCAAAGGTGACATTTTATAGAGAAATCTACATAATGTCAAAAAACCTACAAAATGTCATAATAAATGGATATAATGTCACTTTTTAAGTTACATAATTGTCAGTGAGACATTTATAAAGTGTGTCATCAATGTTATCACAACATTTGAAAGCTGGTAATATTCATCCACATACATATATTTTTATTTTCTTGAAAAAAAAACGCTTTGGTCTCTATCAGAGATGAAAGGATGTACCAATAGTTTCTGCTTTTTGTTTTTCCTCATTTTTTTTTCTCACCATAGATAATAAGTTATTTCGATCTCTTCTAATTTTAGTATGACATAACAAAAATAAAGTTATCACATTGTCACTGTCACCTGAAAAGCAAATAATGTGGCTGGATATTATTCTATGGCTACTCCATCTAGGGACCCTAAATTGCAGAAGTGATCATGGCTTCATCATTGGCATTTCACCATGGCATCCTGGTAAGAGAGGGCTCTTATTATAAGAAAAAATCCATATATATGTAAGGAGTTATTTTGAACATGTTGTCAACTTAATGCTTGTATTGATGGGAATCCTAAGCATCCCATTTTCTAGCTTAAATTCTTATAACAATTTAGAAACTTGTTTTATCACATTTGTGTTCAGCATTCCAGTTTACCACTGTATATCAGGTTTCCTTCACTTATGATCACACATGACAAAAGTAAAAATTTTGTACATCAATGCAACATGGATATTATACAATCTATAAGGAGAAAATGCTTTCGCTCTCTGTGAGGAGGTTAAAAACTGATTTATTTGGTAAATCAGAAGGTCAATTCAGAATCTATTATCCATTTGGTACTGAGATTAATAGGGGACCCATTATCTACTAAAAATTCTACCTCACAATGCCTAAAGTTTTTTTCAAAAATACTTACCTCACAGCTCTAACATAACTCCAATCTGCTAAGCCAGTTAAAGGCCCTTTTTGCTCTCTCATCCTTCCATGAACTGTTAACATTTTGCAGCCTGATGCTTCTAACATTTTTGCATACTTTACTGTCTTTTCAATAGTTTCAAATCTTCGTATTTTACATGTTACAGGTACCTTTAGGTTTTTACTTAGAGTACTAACTGAAATATCAATGACAGATACTTAAACAAATATTGCATTAAAATACAAGATGATCTATAATGAATGCTTCAAGACGTAGTCCAAGATTAAATAAGTGAAAATAGAAAATAGTAATATTGACATAAATATGCCTTAGTAAAATGTTTATCAATTAGATGTCAAATATAAAGTTGCTAAACCTTAATTCTCAAAATTCTAATTCAGATATTAACATGAAGCGGGAGGTGTGTGTTTTTAAGACATTGCAAGATGCGAATTTACCTATTTCTTGTAGTAAAGGCCATTCATCCTGCAAAAATGCTCCATAATGACCCCTTTTTGCAATAGCTTGAGGACAACCCAAATTTATATCTATTGCACTACAGTGATCTTGAGCTAGAAGTGCCGCTTCCAATAATACTTTTGGGTCATTTCCACAAAACTAAAAATAATTATGTTGTCAAGTATAATACGACGATATTCTAGCTATACTTTCTGTCATATCTTTCTTTAATTTTTATGGTTGTATCTATTAGGTACTAGTTAGCGATTCAATGAGTGCACACTTTCAAATAAACTGGTTATTTATCTGTTTACCGTTATACCTGTACTATTAAAGGCCTATCTTTCTCACAACTAGCCAATGCTTCTTTTCTATACTTTGCATCTTTGCAAAATATGGCACTATGAAGCATTGGCGTGTAGCACAACTCTGCACCATACTTTCTACTTAGTATCCTCCAAGCAAGCTCACTTGCATCTACCATGGGTGCCACTATTTTCTGTGGGGCTCCTAGGACATCTTTCCAAAAGTCCATTGCAAAATAAAAAAAAATACGATCAACAATGAGCATAACCTCAACCACACCTCAACTTCAAGAAGACATCAAAAGGGATTTACGTGCGACATCCCTCGTTAAATAGCTTAACTAATACTTATGGTTAGCAATTAGAGATGGGTGCCAACTCCAATATGATTCAATTTGTACCGAACAAGTGAACATTCAGGATGAAACAGAGGCCCATCTATTCTGGATCTATTATAACGCAGACAACACACAACGCGCTGTGCGTGGGGCCCCCGACTCACACGGTTTATGGGATGACCTTCTCTTAAACCATCATGGGAATCCCGTCCGATAACTTTATGCTTTGAGCGTTAGAGTTCGAGCCCCAGAGATACTACAACAGCTACTACGTTGAAACCCTATACAGACAATACAAACCGCACAACTATCTATAGTTACTACTCTACAATTAAAGCAAATAAGGGAATATAAATCAAAGTAAATGACAAAGGTGGCTCGGCGCTACCTGCCAGCGGTGTGTAATGCTTTGATAAAGTCGGAGACACGATGAGGTCGAATGTTTTGCCGCTTTGTGGGCAGTATGTATTAGGCAGTATTTACGTTGCCTATGATGCCTGAGTTGCGTAATATTAGTGATAACGTACTACATACAAATTGAATAGATTTGATCATTACAGAATCTAGTTATATTAATATTTCATGGGATATCAATATATCTACAGTAGTCGTAGATCAGGAACGCATAGCGAAGAAGTATGGAATGGATATGGAAGACAGAAAAAGTTTCTATTATACGTCATCTATCATTTAGTTTAGGGCTGGGAAGTACGACCTCTCTTAAGCATCTTACACACACATTTTAGACTTGCCCTCTTTCAGACTCCTGCTGCTCACTCTAATCCTGTCAATCCTTCAGATCAACAAATGTGAGGTACAATAAAACTGCTCTTTTGTTTCAACGCATCGGAGGAACAGTTTGCTAGGAGATGACAGCTCTGTGATAACCTGAGAAAGGTCAAAATCGGATAAGGCTAATATTTAACGTGCCCATAGCGATCGCGGTGCCCCACAGCATCTAGACTCTGCCTTCGAGACTATTCATACCGTATAAAAAAGTAGTTTGACTCTATAACTTCCCACGTCTTCTCGTTGCGATTTCCAAATTTCAAAAGGCGAATGGGTCAAAAGTTTTAAGTACAAAATATCGTAAACATTTAATCCGTATTTCATCAACATCAAGGCGACAAGTCCAATGAGTGATCCGGCAACTTCAACAGTTGAAGTAAGTTACTGAAATCCTTTATTCGTTCCTTAGCAGTGCTGTCAATGCCAGACCTACCTAGATAGTTCGATAGTTCCTAGTGTGCAAACAGAAAATACAATGGGCGTTTGCTCGCTATAAGCGCTATGAGCGTCATTAAAAACGTTCAACTATGGAGGAAGGACTCAACGACACTATACGCTCATGATTTGTTCGTACAGTGGTCGGTGACTTGTCAGTGACAGCGTTTGGCATCCAGCCGTGAGAATTCCGTCTATATAACGTAGCACAATGCACGGAATTTGTGTGATGGGATCTTGGGACACGATCACTGACAGGTTGGCGACAGCTGTATGATCCATGCTGCAAGCTGCAAGTCAGTTCCCCACATCATGCTTCGTTGGTTACAGAATGCCGAGATAGTATGTAGAATGTATTCTGAGAAGATGTATGGTTGAGTAGCAATAACACATCTGGATTAATGTGTGTATTGGTCTGCATGTGATAAGAAAAGTGATATTTGCTATAAGAGAAAATTATTACTGAATATGAAATATATCTATTAACTGCGCCAGACAGGTCATTTGTGTTTTCCTTTCTGAAGAAAGGTTAAGTTTAAAGTTATACTTTACGATTTTCTCCGTTTTTTTGTTGCGTTTCCAAAACCTTTGAATAGCATTACGGGAAATCAGCACAGCACCCTCGTTGTGTGTAATTAAGCCACATTACAGAAAAATTAGGAATGACGCATCACATACAAAACATTTTTGTACTGCCTCACATCTAGGCGCTAATTTGTATTTTCTACTTGACATCGTAAAGTAAATTTCTATAAAATTAAAATGATTGGAAATAAAATTTAATGTGAAATTTAATAACTTTTTTAAGTTTCATAAATATTCCAGTATGTACCATATTTTCTCAGCTGTTAGTTTTAATATACTTAACCAACCAGGGATTTTCTTTTCTTATCGCTCTCTTTTTTGCAATTCAGCAGATTTGGATATGTAATTTCCAGGTTGAATCAGAAAAAGCGGGTGCGTGACTAATTTTTGCTTTGAATACATCTCAAGTAAGTATATTTGAGATACGAAACCAATGGAAGTATTGTCAACACATCTCATTAGTATATAAATCGTGTATTTCTTGAAACTACCGCGTTTTAAACGTGGTGAACACCGAACTGCTCCTAAAGCCCTTTTGGCGAACTCTAGTGCCGCCTCTGACTAAACGCGGCTTGCGGCATCGCGGTATGAAGTTTCTCTTCGCGGTGAGCGCATTCAGATCGTGATTCAGCTGTGTGTTCATTCAGTGGGTGTGACTACAGGTACTCTTATTCGTTTTTGTACTTTTTTTACGTAGAACAGGTGAGTGAAATAGATTCATTTCTTATTTTCCTTATTACTGTTTTACTTGTACATAGACATGGATCAGGCAGCATTGTGGATGACATCGGGGAATATTTGAAAGTAGGTCTTTTGCTACTCGAATAGTTGAAGGTTAGGTCAAATTCCGGTTAGTTTGGAGTTTTGATGAAATATTACAAGTACGTGTAGGATATTGATTCAAAATCCCATACATTCATGATGCTATAATCTATATTGGATTACTCCTGCATGCCGGCTAAATTTAAAATTCAAATCATGTTTAAAAATAGAACCGGTTTCAGATAGAGGTTTTACTTTTTCCTGTCATCTAGGGATGCGCGATACGATACGATCTTTTAAAGTATCGATACTTCTGCTTTCGATACCCGATATTTTGTATCGATGTTTTCATTGCGATACATCACTAATATCGATACTTTTGCTTGTATATCGGATCATACGATCCGCGGATTGAGAAAGTTGCGGCATCGGCAGCCGATGATTTAAGAAGAGCACAGCCAGACAATAACATTTTAAGATTAATACAATCTGTGCCAACTAGGTGGAATTCGACCTTTTACATGTTGGACAGATTTACTAACTTATATGAATATATAGCTCCAATTTTACTAAAAAACCCAAAGTCACCAGCCATGTTAGATGCATCTGAATTGGAAAAAATAAAAGAACTTTTAAATATTCTATCTCCTATCGAGGCAGTTTCAAAAGAAGTCAGCGGCGAGCAATATTTAACATCAAGTAAGATTATACCTATTGTTAACTGCCTTTTTAAAAATATTGGAAATTTATCCCCATCTTCTAAAGAAATGTTAGCTTTAAAAACTACAACAATTAATGAACTTTCTAAAAGGTTTGGGGCTATAGAACAAAATAAATTATTAGCTGTGTCAACCTTATTAGACCCCCGTTTTAAAAAACTACATTTCAATAGTCCAGTGGCATGTGCTAATGCTGTTACTTTTATTAACCAGTCAATTCAACAATTACGTGAATTACATAACCAAGACCAAATGAAAAATGCTCCAAACTCACAAAGTCAAAGTGCTCAACCGCCTCAACCTCAACTAAATAAATCTCAAAGCTTATGGGCTTACCATGAAGAATTAGCTGCCAAACATACTTTAAAGCAGGTGGATACTAGGGACAGCCTTGACTATGATTTTAAAATATATTTAAACAGCCAAACACTACCAATATTGTCAGACCCATTATCTTACTGGAGCACACACGCGTCACATATATTGAAAGAAATAGCTCATAAATATTTATCTATTGTGGGAACCTCAGTTCCATCAGAAAGGCTTTTTTCCAAAGCTGGAAATATTATTAGCCCAAACCGTAACAGGCTTAGTGGAGAAAGATTATCAGAGCTTTTATTTTTGAGTTCCTTAAATTTTGAAGACTGGAACCTATTATAGTTTTGTTTTTTTTTGTTATTTTTTATAGCAGTTGAAGAAAAACCTGTATTATGTTGGTTTATATATATTTATATTTATGTTGATTATAATATTTTAGTTTTTACATATCAACACTTGTTAGTTCAAGTTAAACATTGGAACTGTATTGTTTTATATTTTCTTTTATATATGTATTTTTTAATACGAGAATTATTTTTTTTTTTTTGTTATAAATGATTAAATGTGAAAATTATACAAACAAATATATTTGATTTTGGAACCCAAAATTTATTAATCAATCATATATTGATTTAAATTCAAACACGATTCCTAATTTTTTTTGTAACGGATAAGATTACGACTTACAGAATAACCATATCGAGGTATCGATACCTTAGGTATCGATTCTTTTACAGCGATATTTTCCTGTATCGATACAATTTCTCACGATACGGATCGATACCAAATATCGATACATTGAAGAATATCGCGCATCCCTACTGTCATCCTATCTTCCAAATACCGGCGGTGCGACTTCTTACATTTTTGGGGCTGTACTCTGTTATCATCCTCCAAAAATTCCATTAAGTTAAACATAATAATATATCATAAAAGCAGAGTTATGAGTCATAAATATTATCAATAAACAATTCTGTGTATGTTGAATGCAACCTCTTAGTAATTTTGTTATTCATTCGCGGTTTACAAGGTAATCTGTTATTTAAAAGAATGATGTCATCTCAATAAGCCGCTTTATATGTATACACTTTGCGCTGGCCTGACTTCAGTCTCTTGCTGTTAGTGATACGAACTGGACCTAGTTCTTTACCCGAATTTTAAGTGATATTTTCTTTTTTTATAGTTCATAACTTCAACAAAATGAGCAACCAACAGTATTACCCTTTCAAGGTAAGCCATATGATTCGAATTTATTAAGTTAAATAAGTATAATAGGCCAATTAATGCAATATGAAGTATGGGAATGCTTTTATTATTTTTGTTTAGTTCCTTCTTTCCTTCATTGTGTATGGATTACTTCCATCTTATAGTCAAATTTTAAATCTATCCGGCAAATCTGTGGATCTGTCTATATAAAGACTATGAATACAGAAGACAATGACTCAATAAGCAATGTTTTTTTTATTTGAACACATTTTGATAATAAATGTAAATTAGTAGGTAAAAGTGATAACTTAAGGAATTGGGTTGGCTTCTTATCGTTCACTATTTCCGCTTTGGCGGAACGACAAACGCTATTTACATAAAATACTAAATAGAGACACCTCTATAAATCTGGAATATACTCCGCAAATACGGATTCTTAGGAACTATTTATCCATAAAACTTTCTCTCAATCATTATGAGTACTTAATACACATCACAAAAAATATACGCTCATCAAATGCTGTTTATTTAACGGCAGATTGTATAGTTCTTACTCCGTTTGAGGTCCCCTTTTATGAGGATACCTTGCCTATTCGCCTTAACAGTATTATCAAATGAGGGTGGCAGTGACAGGAAAAGTACAAATTAATAATTAATAACCAACAATAAGGACGCATCAGATCGCAAAAGTTCACCTTCTTTGACATTTGACAGCTCTTCTGTCGGTAATGAGGATGTTTCGGGGAACCATAGTCACTTTATGACGTTTTTTCTCAATATGTCCTACCCAAAGAAAAATTGTCGTGCATACCTACATAAAAAATAGGATACACATTAGCTGGATATGCATCATGTGTTCAAGGC